ACTCTTCTGCCTTGCCTCAGAATTTTTCCTCTGGAGTATACTTGGAGAGTGTTTCGGGGATCAACACCTCCGCGGCCCGATCTGTGACCAGGCCTCCTGATGGATCAGGTTCTGATCAACCAGACTGTTACTGCTAGTCGCATACAGACCGACATACGAACCACAGCCCGGCTGATCAGGTATTGACTTTAGGTGCCTGTCTAGTGCCTTCTTGAAGACAGCCAGGGGTATATTGGCAATCTCCCTTAAGTATGCTGGGAGACAGTCGAACAGTCTTGGGCCCCTGAAACTTACTGTGTTGTCTCTTAACATACTCGTGGTGCCCCTGCTTTTCAATGGGGAATTGTTGCCTCTCCTGCCCAGTCTTTTGAATTCGTAGGAAGTGATTTTTCCTGTGCAAATTGGGGACTAGTCCCTCTCGGATATTCCAAATGTATATTATCATGTATCTTTCTCGCCTACATTCCAGGGAATACAGTGTTTTTGAAAGTCAGATTTATATTAAGTTTTTTAGTGCCTCACGCAGGCAGACCAAATTGTCATAGTATGGCAAAACCAATACATTTTTCCTGTCAGGCGTTTCCTTAGGTTCAGTCCTGTAGAAAGTCTTCCTAGCCACAAAACTGAGATATCCCAGGGATTTCGTTGAGAAGGCCTTGCTGTCAGCGAGGAAGACTTTCTACAGGACTGAACCTAAGGAAACGCCTGACAGGAAAAATGTAATGGTCATGCCATACTATGACAATTTGGTCTGCCTGCATGAGACACTAAAAAACGCAATATAAATCTGACTTTCAAAAAAATTGGGACAGTGAAACAGACTGATTAAAAACACACCACCTAATAATTTGGGTGGTGTCTACAAGGTCCCATGCACCCTTTGCCCACTCTCATACATTGGTCAAACAGGTAAACTTTTGGAAACCAGCTTATCCCAACACCAGGCCAGGTGTCGAATGCGATCTTTAACCATGTCACCTCTTGCAGTCTGCCACTGGGATGGGCTGCCGCCCAGATAATTGTACCCAGCAGTTCCATCACGGAAAGATATATATCTGATTCCTCCCTGTTGAAAAGTGATAGAAATGCCATATATAACTCAAATTACTGACTGTAAGAACCGATAGTTATTTAGTGGAGTCTATTGTGCACAGCCTTAAACAACTATGTTATACAAAAGTGCAGGATTCCTCCTTATTCCAGGAGGTTTCGTGATGTTTCGGTTATGTTCGACCAGAGTCTGCAAACTGAACATCATGGTATGCCCGTCATGAACGTTGATATAATATATAACATCTTGTTAAGTCCGTCGCGTAGGTCGATATTTAATATGTTAGGTCTGCTGTGAACGTCGGTATAACACTCTCTGCTACTACTGCATAGAGGTATCTTAATGCTACAGGTACTCTAGTTCGGCAATACAGACGGCAGCCTGAGCGATATAACATCTGTAGTAAGGAAGTAGGCATGGGGGTTCTCTTAGGTATGAGTGCACATGTACTAATGAGAGTATAGGTAGTGAAGGGATAGTTTAAAAAAAAAACAGATTTGGAATATGGATCAGAAGTTTGTGGTTATAGGAGGATGGGTGTAGGAGGAAAGAGGAGTGACTTGTGGAATGATGAGGTAAAGGGTGTGATAAAAGAGAAAAAGGTCGTTATTAGGTTTTTAAAAAACAAAAGTGATACAAGATAGGTGGACCATATGGAGTGTAAAAGAGAGTGGTGAGGGAGTGCAAAACGAGAGCAAATGATAGAGTGGGTGAGACACTGTCATTTTACTGAGAATAAGAAAAAGTTTTGGTCTGAGATAAAAAGGTTAAGAAAACCAAAGGAACGAAATGGATTTCACAGTAAAAACAGAGTAGAGGAGGTAGTAGATGAAGAGTTGAAGGAATTGGGAAAATGGCAAAAATATTTTGAGGAACTGTTAAATGTTGATGAAGAGAGGGAGGCAGAAATTTCTTGCACTGGCCAGGGAGGTATAACATCATTTAGGAGTGACGAAGAGCCGGATGAGAGTGTGGGGAAGGTGCGTGAGGCAATAGATAGAATGAAAGGGGGTAAAGCAGCTAGAACAGATAGGATCATGACAGCACTGCTACAAGCAAGGGGGGGATATAGTTTTGGTGTTTTTATTAATAAGTGTATGAAAGAAGGGAAGGTACCTAGGGATTGGCAGAAAGCATGTATATAAGGGAAAGGGGAACACAGGAGATTGCAAAAATTATAGGGGAATAAGTTTACTGAGTATCCCAGGAAAAGTGTATGGTAGGGTTATTACTGAAAGAATCAGAGCTAAGACAGAACATTAAAGCATATAAGTGAACAATATTTAGATAAAGGTAGGAAAGTTTTCATTGCATTTATGGATTTAGAAAAGGCATGTGATAGGGTGGATAAGGGAGCATTGTGGCAGATGTTGCAGGCGTAAGGAATAGGATATAAGTTACTGAATGCTATTAAGGCTTTTTATGGGGATAGTGAGGTTCAGGTTAGGGTGTGTAAAAAAGAGGGAGATTACTTTCCAGTAAAAGTAGGCCTTAGACAGGGAAGTGTATTGTCACCATGGTTGTTTAACATATTTATAGATGGAGTTGTAAAAGAAGTAAATGCTAGAGTGTTGGGAAAAGGGGTGGGATTAAATTATGGGGAAACATATACAAAAAGGGAGTTGACAGTTACTTTTTGCTGATGATACTGTGCTTTTGGAAGATTTTAAAGAGAAGTTGCAAAGGTTAGTGGAAGAGTTTGGGAGGGTGTGTAAAGGAAGAAAGTTGAAATTGAACATAGAGAAGAGTAAGGTGATGAAGGTATCAAACAAATTAGGTAAAGAAAAACTGGATATCACGTTGAAGGGAGCGTGTATGGAAGAAGTGAATGTGTTCAGATATTTGGGAGTAGATTTTTCAGCAGATGGTTTTATGAAGGACAAGGTTAACCATAGAACTGATGAAGGAAAAAAAGGTGAGTGATGCATTGAGGTATGTGTGGAGACAAAAAAAGTTATTCATGGATGTAAAGAAAGGAATGTACGAAAGTATAGTGGTACCAACACTCTTATATTGGTTTGAAGCATGGAATGTGAATGCTGCAGTGAGAAGGTGGCTGGAGGCAGTGGAGATATCGTGTAAATATTATGCAGAGAATTCATAGTGTGAAAATTAGGAGGTATGGAATTAAAAAAAAATGTTATTCAGAGGGCTAAAGGGGTTAAAGTGAGGTGGTTAGGTCATTTAGAGAGGATGAAGCAAAATAGGATGACTTGGAGGCTGTATAAATCTGTAGTGGAGGGGAGGAAGGGTAGGGGTCGTCCTAAAAAAAAGATGGAGAGAGGAGGTAAAAGAGGTTGTGTGTGTAAAGAGCCTGGACATGCAACAGACATGTGTGTGTTAGATAGGAGTCAATGGAGACGAATGGTATTTGGGACCTGACGAGCTGTTGGAGTGCGAGCAGGGTGATATTTTGTGAAGGGATTCAGGGAAACCATTAGCAGAACTTGAGCCCTGGAGCCGGACTTGAGCCCTGGAGCCGGACTTGAGTCCTGGGCACTTCTGCAAAGACAGTGATTATGTGTGAATGATGGTGAAAGTGTTCACTGATGGTAAAAATGTTTCTTTTTTTTGGGTCACCTTGCCTCGGTGGGAGATGGCCGATGTGTTGGAAAAAAATATATATACATGTACATACAAAATGTAATATCAAGAGATCTTTCTCGGATCGCGCAGCGACTAATGTGTATCTAGGTATTACTTCTTTGGTAAGCGCTATGCCCGTAGGGGTCATAAATTATATCTGAGTAAGAGAAGGAAGGCATTCAGATACGGTGCATGGAAATAGAGGTTTGGTCCACTTCTTAGGATCAACAGTCGTTCACTGGCATCCAAGTACCTTCGTTGAAGGATGTAACAAAGTTTCTACTTTACGGAAACTTGCTCATTCGTTGCTGTTACAGAATTAGTCTCGGCGAATTTTGCAGCAATTCTGACAATTCCAGTGATGACTGCAAATGCACAGCGTTCTTGCTCAAAACGGAATATTTTTAGATACTAATTAAACTCCATGAGCCGACAACTCTTGTGCGGCTTGCAGCCACTCCTCTTACTAAAAGACACTGTTTCACAGTTGATAAGAGAGTTAAACAGGTGATTCTTTAATGAGTTTTAAAAACAGTTGGCATCTGACTTGGATTTTTCAAGCGAACGGTGAGTCTCAATTTTCTGTTCAGGCGTTAAAAAAAATATTTTATCGTCGTTATTATACACTTAGTGGTCTTGGGCCATTTTATAACTGGGTAATTTTTATTGAAAGAATATAACATAACCAAACCTTATCTAAATTAAACTGCAAAAATTCCAGAAATCTTCTGCAAACTGTTTGTGGGATATTGACATTAAAGTTGAGAGGATGGGTTATGGAGTTACAGTACTCGGTTAATATTTCATGACATCACTAACAACTCAGCAAAAGTGAAAACAACGAAAAATTGTTTTAAACGGCAATTTATATAAATTTTGCTTCGTTTTATTACTTAATAATATTTTGTTTGCATTTATCATGCTTCATAATTCAGTTTTTTTTCTTTTTAACGAAAATATGAAAGTTAAATAAAAATAGGACTTCAAATAAATTTAAAAAAAATGTGAGTAGGCTGTATTTCTTACCATTTTAGTGGGTGAGCCCATAAGTAAAGTTTTGCCCCGGGCCTTCCGTATTTGTCAGCCGGGAGATGCATTAGAGCTCATGGGCCCTGACGCATCTCGCTCCTGGGCATTCTTGGCCCTAGCTTGGCCCCAGGGCCGTCCCGTCTCTATCCCTGTGTTCTGCCCCTAATTCCACCACTGGGCAGGGCAACACCATGATATAAGCACCTGTAGTAGCAGTTAGAAGACAGTGTCGCCCAACCTAGAGCAGAGCTGTTTTTATATTTATTTTTGTAACAAAAACAAGCTGTGCCTTCACAGTACTGTCTTCAGGTAATAACGAATTTGCTTTCGGCAGAAGCGGAGGCGCACGTGGCGGGGCCTCGAGAGATCCACATGGTGAGTGGCAGCAATATCAACCTGACGTGCTCGGTGACGGGTAGTCCGGAGCCTCCGCAGTACATCTATTGGTACCGAGGCACCACCCTCATCAACTACAGCTCACGGGGCGGCATCAGCGTCGTGACAGACAAACACTCTCGCACCTCCAGACTGGTCGTCACCAGGGCCACCACTGCTGACTCAGGCAACTACACGTGTGCCCCAGCTAACGCAGAGCCAGCATCCGTCAGCGTCTACATCCTGAACGGTACGGACCAGTTAGGTATAGAGAAAGGGCAAGGTTAACACTTAGGTATAGGGAAAGGGCAAGTTTAACACCCATAGTTAGGGGGCAAACGCAGGCGTTTTCATTCATCAAGGAGGGGTGAATGGATACTGGTCATCCCATGAACTAGAGCTACCTTTCTCTTCCTCGGATCAAAGTTGGTGTGACCTGGGATGGTAGTTGAAACTGTGACCTGGGTAATAATGGGACTTGGTGTGACGTGTGGTATTGGAAGTTGGTGAGACCTGGGTAGTGTTAGTGTGATCTCCCGAATTTGGTGTGACCTGTGTTGTACTGGAAGTTGGTGTGACCTGTGTTGTACTGGAAGTTCACATGACCTAGGAAGTAGAGGAATTTGGTGTGACTCGGGGTGGTAGTGGAAGGTGTTGTGATCTGGGTGGTAGTGGAAGGTGTTGGGATCTGGGTGGCATTGGAAGTTGGTGACTTGGTAGTGGAAGGTGTTGTGACCTGGGTATTAGCGAAAGTTTGTGTGACCTGTGTGGAAGTGAAAGCTGGTGTGACCTGGGTGATAGTGGAAGTTGAAGTGACCTGGGAGGTAGTGGGAGTGGGTGTGACCTGGGTGGTAATTGAAGCTAGTGTTATCTCAGGAGGTAGTGAAAGTTTAGGTCTGGGTCTGGGTCACACTAGCTTCAGAGGTCACCCCAGATCACACCGCCTTCCACTACTACCTGGGGCAGTAGTAGAAGGTGGTGTCCTGGGGTAGTGGAAGATAATGTGACCTGGAGTAGTTGAAGTTGGTGTTACCTGGGTGAAAGTGGAAGTTTGTGTGACCTGGGGTGATAGAAGCACTGGTCGCCGTTGCCCAGCGGTGAGAGTAGCCAGTCTCATTGCTGAGGTCCAGGTAACAAACCCTGGAGATTAACATTACATGGGGTGATAGAAGTTGGTGTGATCTGGGGTGACCTTGGAAGTTTGTGTAACCTGGGTGGTAGTGGGAGATGATGTGCCCTGGGCTGGTAGTGGCAGTTAGTGTGACCTGGGGTGGGAGTGGAGGTTGGTGTGACCTGGGGTGCTAGTGGGATTTGGCGTGACCTAGGAGGAGAGTGGTAGTGTGACGCGAGGTGGTAGTGGAAGTTGGTGTGGTCTGGGATTTTAGTGGAAATTGGTGTGACCTGGTAGTGGAATTTAATGACCTTAGTGGCAGTGGAAAGTGATGTGACCTGAGTGGTAGATGTTTGAGTGACCTAAGGCAGTAGTGGCAGTTGGTGTGAGTTGGAGTGGGAGAGAAAGTTGGTGTGACCTGGGATGGGAGCGGTAGTGTAACCTTGGTGGTAGTGAAAGTTAGTGTGACCTGGGGTGGTACAGAAAGTATGTGTGATCTGGGGTAATAAGAAGAACATAAGAATGTAGGAACACTGCAGAAGGCCTACTGGCCCATACGAGGCAGATCCTTATCAAAACGACATCTACCTAAAGCAACTCAAGAAATAACTCCCGTACCCCTTGACACCAATCAAACCCAGCCCCTCCCACTCATATATTTGTCCAGTCTCTTCTTAAAGCCACCCAAGGTCCCAGCCTCTATCACCCCACTGGGAAGACTGTTCCACGCATCCACAACTCTGTTAGAAAACCAGTACTTACCTATGTCCTTTCTAAATCTAAATTTATCCAACTTAAATCCATTATTCCTGGTTCTTACCTGGTTCGACACCCTCAGTACTTTATTAATGTCTCCCTTGTTTATGCCCGTCATCCACTTATACACCTCAATGATATCTTCCCTCATTCTACGCCTCTCCAGAGAGTGGAGATTTAAGGCTTTAAGTCTATCTTCATACGGGAGGTTCCTTACACAGTAAATCATTTTAGTCATTCTTCTCTGTATGTTCTCTAATGAGTCTATGTCCATCCTGTAGTAAAGGGGACCAAAACTGAGCAGCATAATCTAAATGGGGGCCTCATAGTGATGTATAGAGCTGTAAAAAAAACTTTTGGACTTCTGTTACTTATACTTCTTGAGATAAATCCAAGTAATCTGTTGGCCTTGTTGCGCACACTAAGGCACTGCTGTCTCGGCTTCAGATTTCTGCTCACCATGACTCCCAAGTCTTTTTCACATTCTGTATGACCAAGCTCTACTTCACCTAGATTATAGCTTCGAGGGTTATTTTCATTACCAAGGGCAAGTACCTTACACTTATCCACATTAAACTTCATCTGCCATTTTTCAGACCAAGACATTAATTTGTTCAAATCGTCCTGGAGTTCATTGATATCCCCCTCAGAGTGAATTATACGGCCTATCTTTGTATCATCAGCAAACTTACTCATGTCACTAGTAATCCCTTCATCAAGGTCATTAATGTAAATTATGAACAGGAGAGGGCCCAAAACTGATCCCTGTGGAACGCCACTAGTGACTTATCCCCATTCAGATTTCACTCCATTAATGGTAACTCTCTGCTTTCTATTGGTAAGCCATGCCTCAATCCATGCTAGAACTTTACCTCCTATACCATGAGCTGCCACTTTTCTTAAGAGTCTCTTGTGAGGTACTCTGTCGAAGGCCTTACTAAAATCTAAATAAACAATATCATATTCCTTATCACTGTCAACTGCCTCAAATGTTCTATTGAAGAACGTCAGTAAGTTTGTCAGGCAGGAACGACCTCTCGTGAATCCATGCTGAGATTCATTTATCAATTTATGCTCTTCAAGGTGACTTCTGATAATGTCAGATATAATTGATTCTAATAACTTGCCCACTATAGATGTCAGGCTTATTGGACGGTAATTTGAAGGAGTGGACTTATCCCTGATTTGAATATAGGAACCACATTAGCCATCTTCACAACTCTGGCACAACACTGGTAAGGATGGACGCATTGAATACACTCGTTAATGGCTGACTAAGCTCCATCTTGCATTCCTTAAGTACCCTTGAAAACAACTCATCGGGTCCCGGGGACTTATTTTGTTTCAGTTTGTCTATCTGTTAATAACCATGTCCCTCGTGACAGTAATATTAGTTAACTTAAATTCATCAGGAACTAAATAATTGTTAATTACTGGAATCTCATTTACATCTTCCTGTGTAAAACTGACAAAAAATAGTCATTAAATAAGGAACACATTTCCAGTTCATTATCCGTCAGCTGTCCATTCCCAGATTTCAGAGGTCCTACTTTTTCCTTCACCTTCGTCCTATACACTTGAAAGAAACCCCTTTGGATTAGTCTTTGATTCATTAGCAACTCTAATTTCATAGTCACGTTTAGCCTTTCTAATCGCCCTTTTTACTTCTCTTTTAAGCTGAAACATATTGGTCAGTAAGGTTAACCTCTCCTCTTCTGATGCGCCTATAAATTCCCCTTTTCTCCCCTAATAGATGCTTTAGCCTCCTGTTAACCCATTTGGGATCGTTATTATTAGACCTAAATTCTCTCTGGGGAATGTATATACTCTGGGCACTGTGTACATTATTAAGAAAACAATCATAAAAGCAGATCCCTTCATATTCATAAGTATGATTGTTGTCAATAAAATCATTAGCTAGATAACCCCAATCAAGATTAGACAGATGTTCCCTAAGTCCATTATAATCGGCACAGAACGAAAATCGGGGATTTTTACTGTATTATCATTATTCTTGCATTCCCAATTAATGCTAAAAGTGATGGATTTGTGATCACTTGCCCAAGCTCTTCAGTGATCTCCAGATTATTCACGAGTGTTTCCTTATTTGACAAGACTAGGTCTAGCAAATTATACCCCTGGTAGGCTCAGTTACACTCTGTTTCAGAAAACAGTCCTGAACTGTTTCCATAAAGTCACTGGACTCTAGATTACCTGTCAAAGAATTCCAGTCAATTTGACTAAAGTTAAAGTCCCCTACTATGGCTATGTTACTGTGTCCAGAAGCCCTAACAATTTCGTCCCAAAGAAGTCTCCCTCTATCGTGATCCAAGCCTGGAGGTCTGTATATCACACCCAGAATTAGTTTTTCTTGACCCTCCTCGAACTCTACCCAAACAGACTCTGTTACTGCTCCATCTATTTTTATACCTGTTTTAATGCAACAATTAATATTTTCTCGAACATACAATGCAACTCCTCCCCCCTTCCCATTACATCTATCCACATTGAACAACTTAAATCCCTGAATATTACACTCAGCAGTCATATCCCGACTCTTTAAATCATACCACGTTTCAGTTAATGCAATGATATCAAAGTTCCCAGCACATGCTACCAAACGTAGTTCATTAATTTTATTTCTTGCACTTCGACTGTTAGCATAAAATACCATCATATGTTTTTTCTTCTGCACATTTTTCCTATTCATTTTTTTTTTACACAATTTCTGAAATTATCATTACCCAGAGTTATTCCATGACAGTTACTATTAAGATTCTTAATATCAGAGCATAAGTCAATATATCCATACTCATTATTAATCATTTCTAAACCCATACCTCTAACTAATCCTAGTTTAAAGTCCTAACAACCCCCTCAACTGAGTTAGCAAGAAAACCCACACCTGCCCTGGATAAGTGAACCCCATCCATGGCATACATGTCATTTAGGCCATAGAAGTTGTCCCAGTTGTCAATGAATGGTACTGCATTATCCTTACAGTGTTTATCCAGCCAACAATTAATACCAGTTGCTCTGGACAACCATTCATTACCAACACCTCTTCTTGGCAAAATGCCACATATAACAGGGCGCCCCCCCCCCTTCTTCCTAATCATGTCTATAGCTGTCCTGAACTTTCTAACCTGGGGTGGTAGTTGAAGATGGTGTGACCTGCGATGAACGTTGTGACCTGGAGTGGGAGTGGACGTATGTGTGACCTGAGAACGTAGTGGACGTACGTGTGACCTGAGATCGTAGTGTACCTTCGAATGCCCAGTGCTGGTAGTGGAAGTAGGTGTGACCTCGGGTGGTGGTGGTGTTAGTTGTTGGAAGCCTGTGTGACATAGGGTGTTGGTGGAATGCTGTGTTACCTTGAGTGCTGGTAGTGGTGGTGGGAAGGCTGTGTGACGTGATGAATTGTTTTGAAAACCGACAAGTTGAAGAATTGAGACACTTATGCAACACATGGGAATCTTTATTGAAGAAACGTTTCGCCACACAGCGGCTTCATCAGTCCAATACAAAGTAGAAATGGGTAAGGAGAGGAGAAGTTTGAGATAATCAGTCCCTCAACCTGGAATCGATGTGTTCAGTCCATCACTCTTGTAGGAAGTGCAGCATAGGGCCAGAGAGGTGGCTTATAAACTGCAGTCAGACGAGTCGAAGCAGGAGGAGGCGGGATCACAGTGGGACCTGCCACTTGTGTAAGTAGGTCGTCGTCCAAAGGTTGGGCAAGCGTTGAAGTACTTCACTTTGTACCGAGATTCCATGACGTTGCAGTGTCTGACAGATGTGATGAATGGTTTTGAAAACCGACAAGTTGAAGAACTGAGACACTTATGCAACACATGGGAATCTTTAGTGAAGAAACGTTTCGCCACACAGTGGCTTCATCAGTCCAATACAAAGTAGAAATGGGTAAGGAGAGGAGAAGTTTGAGGTAATCAGTCTCTCAACCTGGAATCGATGTGTTCAGTCCATCACTCTTGTAGAAGAGTGATGGACTGAACAAGTGAATGGATTTAAATTAGACAAGTTTAGATTTAGAAAGGACATAGGAAAGTATTGGTTTGGAAATAGGGTAGTTGATGAGTGGAACAGTCTACCTAGTTGGGTTATTGAGGCTAGGACTTTAGGTAGCTTCAAATTTAGGTTGGATAAATATATGAGTAGGAGGGGTTGGATTTGAGTGGAACTTGCAAATGAGTGGATAGAGTTATCAGACCTTATTTCTTGGGTAGCATTGAAAATTGGGTTGGGCAAATGTTTTGTTAGTGGGATGGATTGTAAAGGACCTGCCTAGAATGGGCCAAGAGGCCTGCTGCAGTGATCCTCCTTTCTTATGTTCTTATGTTCTTACTTCTTCGCAGATATGCTGTATTCTATTCAAGATTGATGGACTGATTACCTCATTCTCCTCCTGTTCTTCACGTTTCTCCTTTGTATGGACTGATGAAGCCACTGTGTGGCGAAACGTTTCCTTAATAAAGATACCCAAGAGTTGCACATGTGTCTAATTTCTCAACGAAAATAAAATAACTGAAAAAACTACTTAAAGCTAACCCATCGAGAATACCTAAATAAACCTAATAATTGCCGTTTATTAGAGGCACTTCAAGAATTTCCTTTGATGAGTCTATTTTGTGGTTCACTTTCCTCATGTACTGTATTAAAAACCAGTACATGCTAAACAGCACTCCCTAATTTATACACATTTTTATTAATTTGACTCCATTATGGGCATCTTCTTTTGGCCATACATGTTAACCACCATGCTTGTATCTCCTTTATTACTGTTTATATTTTATTTGGATGTTTCAGTTATTCACTCTTCAGCCGTTTCTCAGTTATTCACACCTCAGCCGCTTCTCAGTTATTCACTCTCAGCGGCTTCTTATGGAATGCCATAGCACATAATTTGTTGTATAATAAATGTTTATCCATTATCTCGTTTGGTTCAGAATGTGCACGGTATACTCAAGACGGCTCGCTACTAATTTTTTTATTATAGAAATTGTATTACTGACATTTTCAGACAGAAAAACCTTATCTCATATGCAATCACACTAGATTTACCTGAATTTTCATTACCGAGTTATCACTTAGTGCCATTTCTTTAGGCTTAATATTGCACGTTTCAAAAGTCAACCGAATGCGTCACTTGTGACTGATTCTAGCCCATATTTTGCGGCATGTGTATATATTGCTGCCAAACTTCGCTGTATTCATGACTCTCCCGAATGGGTTAATTGGATGGACGCACA